GAACAACTTGTCTACAAAACTCCTTTTCGTGAGTCTAGATGACGAAAATATTTGTAAAATAAATTATTTTAAAACAAAATTAATAATTTATAAATTATTTTTAAAAAAACATTACTTTTCAGACTAAACTAAAATATACTACATTAATCGAATTTAGAATGGTAGACTTTCTCGTTTAGTTGAGTGTTTTCTGGCCCACTACATAAGTATGTGTCAACTTGTAATTGGTTTGCGACGTGGCGCCACAAGACTTTCTCATCTGAATGGGGGTAGGCATCATAATGCGGTACCGGAACCCGAAGATCTGCGGATGACGGATGGGAAAGATAACTAGCGGGAGAGGGAACAGAGGAAGCTCTACAACGTCATCGGACTTGGGCTGGTTCGTGTGATGCTTCTCGGGAAAAGATGAGGCGGAGCACCAGAGAGAACTGAGGCTTTGAAATCTGCAATTGAGAAGCGATCAGGATACTGGTGGCGGCAATAAGTGTAGTTCAATTTTGGTTCTCTTCAACCGAAGTCGAATTTTGATTTGATCTTGCTGTGTTCAACAATCGTGTCCCTTATTCTATAACCTGTAAGTGTTCTTTCTCATTTCTAATTTTCTTCCATTTAGGATTCAATTATTCTCTTTTTTAGTTTACGAACACTAAATTCGAGAAATTGAGCAGTACTTTCAGGGCTCGTTTGGTACGCTGGACTATGAAAAAATTAATCCGAACCAGTAATAACCCATTTTTTATGGTGTTAATGGATATAACCCATTTTTAATGGATATAATAAAACATATCTTACGGAGTTACGGTGTCCAGTTCTCCAGTCCTATCCTCAAGTGATAAAAACCATTCCACTTAAATTTTTTTCAGACTTAAAAGGCAAAATCTCTTTCTTGCCCCTTTCTCCTTCTCTCTCGTCACGATCGACGATAACTTTCCATTTCTCCTCGTCTCACCGGTCATTGCCATAGCCGGTGTTACTCCGTCATGTCAATCCTTTGGTAAGTCTCAGACCTACATTCTCTTTTTTTGTTTCTTGTTAAGTACAAAACTCAGAACCATGCCCCTTTTCTCACTTACAGCAATCCAACAATTCCTCCTTGTATTGGTGTTTATATCCACTTATCAGATCTGACCAACCAAATCTAATAAAAAACTAAATTAAACCTATATAAAATTAAATTGTTTTAAATTATAAAAATTTTAAATCAATATAATTGATTTAGTTTGTTCAAGCTATTTGAACAATACAAAATAAAATCTAATTACAAAATAATTTAATTAAATAATGTAATATATATATTTGTGATATTTTAATTTTTTTTTATTTTACAAGATAATAATTTTATTAATTTAAGTAAAAAATAAAAATAGAACAATCACATATTAGCTAATTTATTTTTCTTTCCTAATCATGCACTTTAAACCTAATTCAAAATTTTTATTTCGACTCTACTTTTAGAACTTTAAATTTTTAATTTGTTCCTAAAATGATTTTTTAATTCTCCTAATTAAGTTTTAAAAAAGTATCATTTTAGAAATCTTAAAACTATATAATAGTATTAGTCTTGATATTCTATCACTCTTGCATGTTTGGTTGAGGGGTTTTAAATCTTACTTATGAATGTATTTAATCAATTTTAATGATATTTATATTAAATTTTATTTGTTTTTAATAGAGTTTGAAAGATGAGATTGAATCATTTGGTGCAATAAGAGAAAAAATTAGTTTTATCCTTTAAGAATTTCTTACACTATGTTTAAAACTTATAATCATCTTTTATTATCCTTGGGTGTCTCAAGTTAGGGCTGGGCAAACGGTTGGTTAACCAAATGGGTAACCAAGAATCGTTGGAAAATTAACCAAATGGTTAGATATAAATGGATATTGGTTTTTATTTTCAATTTTAGTTTGATAATCGAAAAAATTCAATCGGTTAATAGTTAGAGAGTTAAAAATTTGAAACCAAATATATAACCGAAAAGTAAAATCTATATTAATAAATAAATATTATAAATAAATATAAAAACATTTTTATTTAATTTCATTTTTAAGTTTTATCTTATAAATTTTATCATAATTTAATATTTAAATTTAAAATATATTTAAAAGTAAAAAAATAAAACTCAAAATTTATATTCTACTCTCATTTATTCATCTTTTTTTCCATTTTTTTATATTTATTTTCCTTTAAAATTTCAAATTTTGATTAAGTATATTCATTATTAACTTTGAAATAAGCATCAATGTTGATTTGGTTAATAATCGATAACCAAAATATTACAATCGATTATTTTGGTTATCAAACCAAAAAATCCATAGAGAATTTGGTTCAGTTTTGGATAGTAAAATTGAAAAAATAATAATAATAAACGGATAGTTGAAAATTTTATTTTGGTTAAATTGAAACCAAACCATATCCAGGCCTACCTTTGGTAATGTAGCCAAGAAAATTTGCAGATCTTTTCAATTTTTATAATTGTAAAGGAATATAAAAACCTGTTTATAATTTGTATCTTTTATTATGTTTTTATTAATTTGGATATTAATATGTTTTATAATTATATTTTCTACTTGATATTAAAATTTTTTAAATTATCTCATATATTTAATAGTGTTAAAAATTAATTAATCCGAGCGAACTACACTGATCTGATTTAAGTTGGATTGGTTTGGTTATCATATAATAATCGATTGGATTAGTTTAAAAATTTTACTAATAGATTAAATTGGATTGATTTAAAAAAATATTAAAATTCAAACCAAACCACACCGTGAACACCCTTACCTCCGTTTTTATTCTTCTCTGACACTGAGCTACTGGTTTTGGTAAGCCTCCAACCTTTATCCCTGTTTTTCCATATTGCGTTTATGCTAACTCTATAGAAAAAAATAGAGGAATGACAAGCTTTTGGGTTAGACAGTGTCCATGCTTTGCTGTGTATTTGGGAGAAGAATTGTATGGACTAGCTTGTATCTATTAACTATTAGTGAGACATTAATTTTAAAATTCCTCTGATTATTAATGTTGATTAACTTAAATTATTTCCTAAAACAATTTTTTCTGGGTTTTTGATAGAAAGATTGTGCAAATTGTTGCACTAAACTCTTGAACTTTAGTGAAAACCATTTAGGCTGTTTCTTTCCCCAATATTAAACAGAAGAACAATTGAAACTTATGTCTCTATTTTGTGAAATTCTAGCCGTATGTTGCGATGTTTATCCATATAATACTCCATGCTGTCTCAATTCTTTCTTTCTATTCTAGGAGTATACCATTCACCATGAATATCTTCTTAGTATGATTATATTTCAGAATTAGATTGAAACTGCTGAAACTCAATTCTGGAACTCTTTGGATTTAAGAGACTGTTCTGTGTTTACTGCTTCTCTGTTAGGCTCACTTTTATTGTCTTGAGATTACTAGGATTTATTTTGTTTATTTTGTTTAGGAAAGGAAGATAAGGGTTTGATTGTTTTTGTTGGTTAAATTCTATAGGGTGTAGTAGTCATGCATGATCTCTGAATGTCTAAGCAGCTTTGTCAAAAGGCATCACATTTATTGTAAGCATGAAATTTTACCACATGATGACTTCATTGCTTCTCTTCAGTCGAGAGAAGCTTTGAAACCTTAACAATTTCCCTTTCCTTTTTCTATCCAACCAAAAGAAATGAAAGGCGATTTGGGGAACTTTGCAGCGGCAGTAAAATTGGAAGAAATGAAGAAATGTTTGTTCAACTCTTGCGTTTGTGGGTCGAACCAGAAAGGGAGAATAACCAAAGGAGCAGCTGCACGTCAGTGGGAGAATTTGAAGAAATCCGAGGGATTCTTCCAAGAATGGTATTGGGCTTTGTTAGGTAAGTATAGGTTATGGCTTTGGTAGCTGTGATTGAATTTAAAATGATATTTGTCCGGTTAAATATGATCCTAAACTAAAGCTAATGCAAGAAATGGGCTTAATAAAGAAGAATGATTAACATGGAATTGAAATTATGAATTAGTTCATGGTTAGCTGTTGTGTCCGAGCCATATTTGATTTGTTATGTTCATGAAATAAACTTGAAGTTCGAAGAATCTATTAACTATGAAAGGTACTAAATAGATCAATTACTATGCAAGTTAAATTTAATTGTTTAGCCATGTCTAGGCTCTAAGTTAGTGCTGAATGAAAGTTGAGACCACATGTTGGACACGCAGATATGGCTTTTGAAAGCTATAATTGATGCAAGCTACCGTGCTATCTTGCTGTGATTTAATAATAACTTGTCTTGCTTTAAAGTATAAGCATGACAGTTTATAGAGTGTTGTTTATATGCTGTGGAATGCCTACTGTACAGAGTTTTCCAAACCATACTTACGAAAGTTTATGAAAGTATTAAGCTATGATGAATTATGCAATTAGTGGTACAGTGCAACCTGCTTGTATATATGATCATATGAGCTAAACGAGACCTAAAAGTATCTTTTCTCTAAGAAGCATTGTCTGCAACTATTTAAAATGGAGTTAATCTAAAAAGTTACAGCTCAAACTTGACCTTTTTGGCTAAGGTTGCAGGTCTGGGACGTCACAAAATGGTATTAAAGCCACAGCTTTATTAAGATACAAGTTACATAATGTGTATTGAGTCCAGTAGTCATAAGATGTATATAATTAATATTTGGGTGTTCTGTTTTTCCTGTATATAGTAACAGCAAAAGGAATAATGATAGATCAAGAGCATAGACAATATTTGGGTGTTCTGAGTAACAGCAAAAGGAATAATGATAGATCAATAGCATATACACATTATTTGGGTGTTCTGTTTTTCCTGTCTATGGTAACATCAATAGGAGTAATGATAGATCAAGAGCATCTACCCATTATTTTGGTGTTCTGTTTTTCCTGTCTATGTAACATCAAAAGGGGTAATGATAGATCAAGAGCATACATAAAAGAGTAGGAAATTATTGTGGGTCCTATTACTGGAGCTGCAAGCAGACATGATGCTAAATGGAACTTACCCCCACAAGCCGAATGCCAATTGGACTCCAGCGACTGCTTGCAGCAACTCTTGGAGGGGGGTCGGCGGCAGCCCTTGCTGCAAGTCTTGGTGACCTACGAACACGAGTCGAGTTATCAAGAACTCGAGGGGTGTTGGCGGCAGCCCTTACAGCAGCAAGTCTTGGTGACCTACATAAGATTGGTTAATTATCTTTTTAGATAATATTATCTTGTAAAGCCTATTTAAAGGTTGGATTATTTTCAGTTTAACTTGAGATTCAGTTTTTCATTCTATATTCTTCTTTTCAAGAATCCTTGATTTTTTAACAATCGGAGAGGTGATGCTAAATGGAACTTACCTTCGAGGAAGAGGCAAGTTATCAGGAACTCTTGGAGGGGCGTCGGCTGCAATTGGTTGGGTAGCATCCATCAATATCGGCTCACGCATTGCAAGTAGCGTTTCTGCTGCTTCTAGGACCTCTTGATCAGGATCAGCATCCACCAATATTGGCCCATCTTGCATTGCAAGGAGCGTTTCCGCTGCTTCTAGGACCTCTTGATCGGGATCAGCATCCATCAATATCGGGTAGCCCCCTGCTCGCATTGCAAGGAGTGTTTCCGCTGCTTCTAGGACCTCTTGATCGGGGTCATCCATCGTTTGTTGTTTCTTTTTTTGGGTCACCCGGAACTAGGTAGTGCTGATTCTGCAACTATAACCTGTTTCCTTCTGTAGAAAAAGTTCCGGGAAATGGAAACCCAACTATGATGTGACAAATTGACTATGACGTGACGAATTTTGTGAACCTCTTTCGCCAGTGACTGTGGCGCCCAAGGGAAATTGGGTACCGTTCGACTGGATGACAAAAAAATTCAAGCTTGGAGACATGGTACATCATTCTGATGGAAACATGGTACATCATTCAGATTCAGAGAAACCTAATCTATCACTTGCACGCCGCAATACGCTAATGTAAGAGAAAATGTGGTCCCACCACCTTTTTTATTTTTTTGATTGGATTACAATGCAACAGTAGGGCTGAACCAAACCGACAAGTTACCTGGAAACAAATGAATCAACGGTTTTTGGTTTTTATTATTTTGGTTGTGATATTAACCAAATAAATTTTGATTTGATTTTGGTTGAACCTTTCAAAAACATAAAACCAAAAATAAGCCTTCTGAAAATCAAAATTAGGATAAATATAACAAAATATGATAAAATATGAGATAAAATATAATTTATTATTAAAAAAATAATTGATTAATATTTATTTGATAAAAACCAAAACCAAACTGATTGGTTTGTAAAAATTTGGTTTCGGTTATCAAAATTAAAGAAAATTTTTTTGGTTATTTTAAAACCGATTTAAATTATAACCAAAATCAGTTTTTGCCCACCCCTAAATGCAAGTGCTAAATTTTGATTAGTTAATATTAATGTAACTTATATGTTAATTATATATAATTTTTTTATATAATTTATATTCTATGAAAATAATGATTAAATTTTATTCATATAAATTATATATTAAAATAATTTTGATATAGATAATTATTCAAAAAATAATATATTTTTATACTATTTATGTCACAAATCATGTTATGATTTGCCCAAGGTACCACCTAATCTATCACTTGTCTATCACTTGCATGCCACAAAAAAATATTAAAAGAAAAAATATTTATTATGTTCAAAAAAAAAAAGAAAAAAGAAAAAAAGAAAAAATATTTATTGAATTTATCCTCACCAACGCCTCTTCGCATGTGCATGGTAAATTCTATCCCCGGCAGTTTCCCCTAAAATGTTATTCTTTGACTAGTTAATCATATTAATGTAACTTATATAATTTTTTTTAATAAATATATATAATTTTTTATATAATTTATATTCTATAAAAATAATGAGTAAATTTTATTTTATTCATATGAATTATACATTTCAAATTTAAAATAATTTTAATATAGATAACCATTCAAAAAAATACTATATTTTTATATTATTTTGAGATTTATTGACCATTTATAAATGCATTCAAATGTCACTTTTCCCGGACATGACCAAGTAAGGTTTCTTTCCAACTAAGAACCCAAATAATGGCATAACAGAATTTTAATTAATCTCAATTTAGAAATTTGCTACGGACTCTTAAGTCTCCTTCAATTTGCAAACTCGATTACATCCAAGACTGCCTGGAGTAATTCCAGCTCACCATACCATTTTTTTTAGCCATTCCACCTCACCAAACAAAGGATGCATTAGTATTCCAACTTTATACACTTGGTATTTTTGATATACTACTTTTAGAAAATTAATAATGGCCATTCACAAACTTAGAAAATAATAAAACAAAACAAAACAAAACAAAAAAATGGAGAGACCTAAAATTACAAAATTTCACATTTATATCTAGAGCTCCACACATCAAGCAAAAATCATCTCCATTAAGGCAATGGCCCAACAGAATCTGTGAAAATGGCCCATTGTAATCCCGTCTATAGGTCTTTAGAAAATGGCTCACAAGTCACAACCCATCATCGACAATCCTGTGGAAGCAAGAAAACAATTTAACAAATTCAGAAATAAAGGAGATAAAGTTCGAAATTACATGCAATTAAACCTAAAGGTGATAGTCTAGTTAGCATAGTTATCAATACCGGCAGCATGCTAGCACAGGCAATTGTGAAATATGTGAAAGGCTACTTAGGAGGCTTATACAGTGCATCCACAGATCCAGCAGATATTACATAAGAGCTTCATGTAGAAATGTAAAACAGCTTATATGTTGCACCCTAAGGCTAATAAAAGTTAACCCAGGATTATAACATAAACAGATATGCCTCAGAAAAATCACAAGCCCTGACAGAGACATTGTTAAAGTGTTGCCTTATCTAGAGCATTCTATTCATTCAATTAATATCTTAAATTCCTGCATTCATTATGTCCTTTACTTATTATAAGAGATGAAATAAAACTAAACACCAACCTGCTTTAACCTTCATTATAACAAACTAATGCTCTGGCCCTTCCAAGATAATTTGCAAACTATTTGATGTTTCATGTCTTTCGGCTAATGTAGTGCTAGACCACCCCTCCCATATTAAACAACCATCTGCTATTTGCTGAATACTGGAAAGGAAAGTGAATACTGTGTTAAAACAGAAAATTGAATACCAATGAAAGACATAGACATAGCATGATCAAAGTGGCTCTAAAGATTCTAAATTACTAAGATAAGCTGGCACAAGAATTTCATGATTTTACAATACTAAACATTTAAGAATTCAAAAGTTGAAAAAGATTCTAAGATAAGTTGAAGAAAAAGAGGGATAGTTCTAAAATAGAAGAACAATCATTCCAACATTTAAGAATTAAAAAGTTATGGAAAAACCGTTCAACATACATCAAATATGGGCAAGAACTCATAGCCACATTCCAATTGGTTCAATCAAGAGTGAAATACTATTCCATCCGGACACATACCTACCCATGCTCACCCCTAGCATTTTCTATTACGAACCCAAAAGAGGCGCCCAGCCAATGGCTTGATGACTCTAATAAGATACTGTTAGTTTAGTGTGTTATAATTTGATTTTGATTAGGTATTATAAAATTAGTTTTTTATAAATTCAATTTTAAAGTTTGAATGACAAAATTGGAAATTAATTGGGTAAAAAGAAATAAAATGAAATAAATTGGACTTGATTGCAAGGAGCTATAAAACTTTGAAATTGGGAATTGCTTGCAGGTCTAAATTAATGAACTTACGAGTCATGAGACCAAAACGTTAAGCTTGAGAAACCAGAAGTACTAAAGAAAAAAAAGTTGCCAACAATGTTGCTTCTGCCCCCCAGCCAAGTACGAAATTAAATTGGTTCATTCGAACCCTCTCTCACAGGCTTCGCAAGCAGCCGTTTCCTTCTATTCGTTTCCAAGTTTCTCTTTTGATTTTTCTTAAAAATTTTGTTAATTTATGTTTAACAAAATAACAATTATTTGAGAAATAAAATTTTTAGAACTAAAGTTAAGCAATCAAGAAAATCAGTAGAAAGTCGCAAATCGTAATCCATAAAGAGTTTGGAATTTATTCAAAGATTAAAGTCCAGATGCATAAAGTATGAATCTAGCTCTTAAAGTTAAAATATGAATCTAGCTCTTAAAGTTAAAATTATTAATCATTTTTTTCTATTAATTATTTGACATTAAAATTATTTCTTTCAATTGAATTTGTGGAGACTTGTTGCCCCGAATCTTGTCTTTGAATTTGTTTCTTTTCCTTTCAATTATAAATGAACAAGCATAAGAAACTTAAGGATTAATGTTTTAATCATGTGATTTGGCCGTCCGAAGTTTTTTTGGTAATCGTTTATGATTCAATTTTAAATCTGAAAGATTATTGGGCATTATCTGAACATTACCGTCTCATGATGTGGGTTTTGGACTTCGAAATTTTTGCTTTAGTTGGATAGTTTGAAGTGAACGACTGCTTTTTCCCAAATTGTGTTATTTAACTATTTGTTTAGTTTAGACATAAAGGTTTTTTCATTTTAGCAGTAGGAATCCATTGCTTTGCATTTTAATTATTAAATGTCCTTACATGTCCTTACAAGCAAATTATGGCGTGGAGGTGATTTCGCGTCGTTAAGCTGCATTATTTGTTTCTTTTGATTAACGATTGAATTACCCCAAATAAGAGTATGTGGTAATTGAAACGCTAAAAATTAAGATTTTATCTAAGAGTGGAAGGGAGAAATGAAATTAAAAATCATAAAATCACAAATAAGATGATAAGATTTTTGCAAATTAAATTTGTATCTTTATATAATTAACAAAAGTAAATATAAATTATGAAAATATTTTAAAATAAATTTCTAAATTTGTTCATAAAAGAAATAAGTTTAAAATTAAATACTTAAAAATTTAAATACAAACTACTTAATACTTAATAATTCATAATATATTTTACAAAATGATTGTATTGAGATTATATTCCTTAGAAACTAAACTTTTAATAACTTTGATGTACCAAAACATATATAGCCTTGAGAATTAATCAAAGTAAAAGCCTCAACTCCATATCCTCACGCGATAGTAACTGTTTAAGGCAAAGGATTTCTCTCATGGAGTTGGAAAGCAGCAAGTCACTCAAAGGAA